GATTCAGCTCTCTGCCATGGCCTGGGAAAGCAGCAGAAGATGCCCCAAGTCCTTGGGCCCCTGCACCCTTGTGGGAGACCCGGAGGAAGCTCCTGGCTCCTGGCTTCAGATCGGCGCAGCTCTAGCCATGTGGCTATCTGGGGAGTGAACCAGTGGATGGAAGACCCCTCTCTCTGTCTCTACCTCTCTCTGTAACTCTTTCAAATAAATAAAATAAATCTTAAAAAAAAAATGCTCATTGGCTGGCGCCACGGCTCACTATGCTAATCCTCTACCTGTAGCACCGGCACCCCGGATTTTGGTCCCGGTAGGGGCGCCGGATTCTGTCCCGGTTGCTCCTCTTCCAGTCTGGCTCTCTGCTATGGCCTGGGAGTGCAGTGGAGGATGGCCCTTGGGCCCTGTACCTGCATGGGAGACCAGGAGAAGCACCTGGCTCCTGGCTTCGGATCAGCGCAGTGCGCCTGCCACAGCGCGCCAGCCGCAGCGGCCATTGTGGGGTGAACCAACGGCAAAGAAAGACCTTTCTCTCTGTCTCTCTCTCTCTCACTGTCCAAACTGCCTGTCAAAAAAAAAATGCTCATTTTCCCTCAAAGTTGAAGAACTTTTGTTCTTTTTATGTATTTTTTTGAGTACGGCCCCTTCTTTTCCATCATCAGAAATGTCTCAGTGATGCTACAGGTTTTATAATTAAACCTAGGAACTACAATTCTAAAACACAAACCTTGCCTTTCTAAAAGTTACATTTTTTTTTTCATGTCTAATCAAGAACCTACCTAGGTTAAGCACATGGTGTGTCTGCGAGAAATCTACATTTTCATAGGAACTTCTCCCCTTAACGACATCAAAGCTTTCACCTCCCCCCTGCTTAGCCTTATATCCTTTTAGGACAGAAAAAAAAGGCCAAGTCCTCAGAACATTACCTGGATGGCTGATGACCAAAAGAAGGATGAAACGGTCTATGTGGAGGAAAAAGAAATCCATGGATTCAGAGCAGAGGTCTCTGGACAACTGTGAATGCCACTTTCATAAGCTTCCTAAGAAGAGAGCCTGCAGCCCCAGCTCACGTCTTAACTGCACCTTCCTCCAAGACCTGAAGTCACGGCCACCCGGCTAAGAAACTCCCAAATTCCTGATGCCCAGAAACGACAGGAAGTAATGCACGTTCATTGTCCTTTCAAGCAACTAATTTTGGGGTAATTCATTGTCCAGAAATCTTGAATTCACAAGATTTGGGGGAAATAATAAGGATATTTCAAAAGGCTCACGTAAAATGAAATAAAAAAATAAGTTTATCGGGGTGCAAAAAAATGCTGAAAAACATGCACAGTTTTTTCATGACATATGTTTTAAATGAACTTTTCTGAAGATCCTTTGTCTGGAAATGGAGTGACGTCGTGGGGTGTCACGGTGCCGCCTACAGAAAGGACGCAGGGGTCACAGATGTGGCAGAGGAGAAAACTGAAGCCAGGAGTGAGCAGGAAAGCATCAGCCCTCCCGGAACCCTCAGAGCTGGTGAGAGGAATGCTGCTTCCCCAGTCATAGGACGGAGGGCTGAAAATTGTATTTAAGTGGTAAATTCCATACAGGTAGTTAACCTTGCTTTAAATGGAGAGAACACAAGAAAGGTGTCCGAGTGCAAAGGAACAGCATGGAGCAAGACACTGCAGCCCTCTGGGGACCAGTGACCCCCATGCTTTAGATGTGCAGAAAGCACCAAGCTCGTGGCCAAGTTGCAGGTCAATGATTTTGGTTTGCCGCCTCGATTTCCCTTCATTAAAACCAAAACTTGATGACAGCCGTGAAGCCAGGATGCTCCCAGTCAACAAAATTACATCTTTGGATTTTTGTATACATAAGTTGAGCCAGAGACTATCCTCACGATTGAAGAGACATAAAAGCCATAGAGAACTGGTTCTTTTTTGTTTGTTTGTTTGTTTGTTTGACAGGTAGAAAGACAAACAGGGAGCTCCCATCCATTGGTTCAGACCCAAAATATCCACAACAGCCAGGATGGCTGGGACCAGGCCAGGAAAAAACCAGGAGCTGGAAACTCAACCCAGATCTCCCGTGTGGATGCAGGGGTCCAGTTACTTGAGCCATCAGCACTGTCTCCCAGAGTCAGCATTAGCAAGGAGCTAGAGTCAGGAGCCAGAGCCAAGAGCAGAACCCAGGTTCTCGGTTAACGGACGTGAGCATCTTATTAACCAGCTTGTTAACTGCTAAGTTAAGGCCAGCCCCCTTTGGTTCACTTGTGATCTGTTCAAACAGTTGTCCCTTTCTGAACAAACACTTTCACATTCAGTGAAAAAACAGCCCAGAAGCCAGAAGATGTGGTCGAAAAGCTTGGTCTATGTGATTCCATGTTTCTGGATGAAAATCTGAAAAATCCAGTCCATCGTGAATGGTACTGGCATCAAAGCAATGATTCCTGAATTCCAGTTTTCCTGTTGTGAAAACTTGCTGTGTGCTGCTAGGCAAGGAGCTTCAGTTTCTCTTTTGACAAAATGAGGAGTTAGAGGGAAAAAAATCCATGAATCTACTTTCGCATCTCATTTTTATGACATAAAATAAATATTACCAATATTTCCACTGTTATACAATTTTGCCATCAAGCAGGCAAGGCATCCAGGCACATGAACAGATACTTCTGCATCTTATTTCTATGTTCTGAATCAAATCAGACCGAGGGGAGAGGGGGCAAAGAAGAAAGACCCAGTATAGTGTCAATTGCCTTCCCAAGACACAAGTTCCCCTCGAGGTTTTATTTTCATCTGCATCTTGAGTTGAAGGATTTTTGTGTGAAGGGAATTCTGCCAATGCTCTAAGAGCCTCTGCTTCTGTGACTGCCGGCCACCTGTTTTCTAAATCAATTACATCCACAAAAGTGGGGGTGAACCGCCAGCAAGCCTCTTCTGTGTCTCTACGGAGGCCATATGCTCCTTCTCCCCACTATTCAAAGCAACGCCTGAACTCTAACAGGAGGTGGGAAGACAGGCTGTAGGATCAGCAGCAGAGAACACATCTGCAACTCAGATAAACTGGTAGATGACCTCCAAGTTCCAGGTGAACTTGAACGTATTCCTCTCTCAAAGCCTGGCAAGGTTCACATTCCCACTCCTAAGAGTTCGGTGCTGTATGGGTGCTGTATGACACAAGAGAGTAAATAAGAAAAACTGACTCAATGACAATATCTGCAGCCGTACTTTGGAGGGCTATGGGCCTTTTCTCCTCAACGCCGTATCCGCTTCCTGGCAAAGTGCCTGGCACAGAGGAAACGCTCAGTGAACACTGGCTGAACAAACGGACAAATGTCTACGGCCCTCCCTTGCTGGGAGAGGTGGAAGGAAGGGAGTTACTGCTTTCTGCAAGTCCACGTCCTATCTTGAATGAACCCAATCATAAGAATATTTAACAAACAAACAAAAAGAACCTTTCTCGGAGTCTTCCCTCACACTGTCTTCGGATACTGCTTTCTGCTC